ATATTGCCCCTTTAAGTACAATGCTGTATTTGTGTCAGGACGAGGAGATGTCCATGCTGGGGGAGATCACCCACCTCCAGACTCTCACAGATGATCTGAAGACCCTCACCATGGACCCCCACAAGTTGCCTGCTTCCAGTGAGCAGGTATAACCGTCGTGTTTATCATCTGCCACGTGTGTTTGTCTGTAGTGTTAGCAAAATATCTCATTATTTAACTCAGATCTGGTGTGGTAGCAGCTGAGACTCATTCCCAACACACCCTACAGTACCATTCAAAATAGTTCAAACTGTTTTTGAACTAATTTTTATATTTGAACGTTAAAGATTTGCCAAATACTTCTATACTTGAGGTATGTATTTGTAAGATTTTCCAGCTGGCAGAAATCAGTTAATATTTGGATCATTTCCTGGTTTGAGCTTATTTAAATGTAAAACGGTGTGTTTTCTGTGTGTGAGGAGTGAAAGTGAGCTAGATGTTTGAATTCTGGACTGCTGGTTGAAGAATGGATCCAAGTGGAGCTCCACAGTTTGGCTCAGGATTATTANTCACATCTGCAGGTTCTGCTTCACATCTGCAGGTTCTGCTTCACATCTGCAGGTTCTGCTTCACATCTGCAGGTTCTGCTTCACATCTGCAGGTTCTGCTTCACATCTGCAGGTTCCGGCTCACATGTGTCCCAGGGGCAGCCGGAGCGCTCTGGATGTGCTGCTGTGGGGGTCCCGGCGCTGCTGCTGCAGGTAGAAGTCTGCCTCCTCTTCCTCCTCTTCCTCCTCCTGCCGCCTCCCTCTCCTCCTCCTCACGCTGACCTCCCAGGGGCGAGCAGTAGTAGTAGTAGTGAGCCTGTGCGCTGCAGCAGCCCGGCTCGGCTGCTCCCATCGTCTGCAGGAGGTCAAGTTGGAGACGCGCCGGACGCTCCGCCCGGCGCACCGGTTCACAGCCACGCACAAACCCGGGTCCACGCGGCGGAGATCTCGGAGCACGTGAGCCTGCGTGTCGGACCGATGCGGACCCTCTCTCTCGTCCGGTGGTGTGTGCGCGCGCGGACACGCAGACTTACAGCCCCTCAGCAGAGGCGGCTCGGTGCGCTCCGACACTGTTTTCTTGCTGCAGTCATTAACCAAACTCCAAAAATACGCACCTCGCCGCGCTCAGACACGCCCAGGAGAGGCTGCCATTGGGCCGCGCGCGCCTGGAGCTCGCAGCTGATTGGTTGGTGGAAGTGTCAGGAAATGCAGCTGAAGAGGAGTTCTGCCTCCAACAGAGATTCCCCTGAGGAGAGAGGAAAAAAAATGACTCAACTTCCATTTAAACCAGAGATATTCAGAGCTGAGAGCTGCTTTACTGGAGGAAATAAAATGAGTGTCTACCTCTGAACTGATGCAAAACACAGAACTACAGTTGTCTGTTATTAGACATTATATACAGATGAGTTTTATTGAAATATTATAAATATTTAAGTTAAAGCTGAAAGCAAAGAAGACAGCAATGCAAGTAAACCAACAAAAATCAACATAAACAGKTTAAAACTGAACAAATGTTGAAGCTGTGAGACTTTTTTATTTTAACATGTAATATTGTGAARAATCAGAATCAGTTTTATTGTCATTGTCARTGAACAGGATTCACACACTAGGAATTTGCTTTGGTGTAAATGTGCAATAATACGGAAGCGTAGAGCTGCCACGTGACATGAAATTATTTTTAAACTGGATCTCGTTATAACTAGGGGTGTAAGAAAATATCGATACACTGAAATATCGCGATATTTCATTTCCCGATACTGTATCGATATTCTAAAGCCCTGTATTGATTTTTAATTAAGGTTTAAAATGTCAACTTTCCTGCCAGCCGTTCATTTTTATGTTGTAGTTCAGCCTCTGACCACTAGTTGGCAGCAGTGAGCCAGACATTTGGCTCCTCTGCCTCTTGAGCACCAGAGAGTAAGGGTAGCATTAGCATTGTGAGTAAATATTAGCTTTTCTTTTTTATTTCTTTTTCAGTAAGAGGTTTTTATTTAATAGAACTTTTGGACAAAAAAATCGCAATATATCGCCTTGCTTACAGTATCGCAATATATCGGGATATATCGTATCGTGACCCCTCTGTTATGATATGTATGTATCGTATCGCCAAATTCTTGCCAATACACAGCCCTAGTTATAACGAGAAACTATCTCGTTATAACAAGAAAACTATCTTGTTATAACATCTCTTTATAACAAGTTATGATTTCTTCTGGTTTGTCTCTTTCACTGAAGTTTATTGCCTGGATGGTGTGATGGAGAACACGACTGAACCACTACATAAACAAAAACAAACAGCATTATTTGGGTTTGTGCTCAGATGTTGCAGCTAGTAGGACTTAATAATATTAACTCTGTAATCTGAATTCAGACGCTATGATTTCAAAAACATTATTCAGTACTAACTTGTCATTTTTTAGTCTAGAAATGTGTTCCTCTGGCAGATTTCTTCTTCATAAAAAGGCATATAGTGAGACTAAGTCGTGTTCTCCATCGCACCATCCAGGCAATGAACTTCAGTGAAAGTGACAAACCAGAAGAAATCATAACATGTTATAACAAGATGGTTACCTTGATGTAATAAGATATTTTTCTCATTTTTACAAGATAGTTTTCTCATTATAATGAGATATTTTAGTCGTTATAACGACATATTTTCTCGTTATAACGAGATCCAGTTTAAAAATAATTTCATGTCTTGTGGCAGCTCTATGCTTCCGTATTACAAGCATAAAATATAACAAAGAAAATACAAAGGATAAAAGGAAAAAATGTAATATATGAAACATATGTACACCAGTTCAATTCAGTAATGATGYTAAAAGTGATGCTAATGGCTAAAATGTTTATGTTAAAGGAACTCATTACATTCTGCATTTATCAAATGGAGCCGTCTGAAACTATTTACTTCTACAGATGCATTGTTTTAAAATGTGGGTCTGCACTSAGCGTAAACAATGCACTCCACAGGTCTGATGTTTTAAAGATAGATTTTGGTGTGGTAGTAGCTGAGARTGACACCCAACATTTACCCTGAGCAGATTTCCAGATTTTAATTATTATTTATTTATTTTTTTATTTTTGTGATTTTCTGGTTTGAAGAATGCGTCAGCTTCAAATCTCAGCAGCAGCAGGAGTTTCTTGATGTACAGCTGAAAGTTTCCAGCTTGTTTTGGGAGCAGAARCGGTTCAGTGAGAGTGGACTGCAGCAGATAAATCAGCTGCTTGTGAAACTCTGTTCAGGAGTTGGTTTGGTGAAAACAAACTGTTGTTTCTCAGCTGGAAGGAGAGCAGAGGAGTTACAGCAGAAAATCTCCTGTTTGTGAACTTTGTTCTTTAGCATTATAACCGTTTGAAACAGCTAAAATTAGCTGCACACAGCTGTTAGCTTGGCTCTAATCACATCCTGTTTCCAGTCTCGGCTCGTCGTTTGTCCCTCGTTGTCCAACAGAAACAACTCTTCACTCGGACCACATTTAGAAATATTCTTAATTTAACCAAATTAATCTTTTTCCTC